CTTAATTCAAAATTGTATACCTCACATCGGTAGAAATAATCTGTACAAGTGTTTTATGATGAGATGTCGGGCATGTTTTTCATCATAGCATTATTGCAGGTTCCCAACATTATAATAATAAAGAAGCCTGGACATTGAAGAGGAATTAGTGGAGATGTTTTGCCAAAAAGCACAGATCCTCAAATAACTAAAAAGAGACACAACTCATCTGCCTCAGACTGGTTCACTTAAGGGTAACCAGCCTGAATGCAGTAACAGAGAAATGCATGACTATCTTAATGTCTTCCATTTATTTTGAAGCCCACAATCGAGTGGATGAAAAACCAAATGATCATTGGAAACGACCCCAAGTTTCGTCAGATTTCCAACCAGGGCATCTGCTCCCTGGAGATCCGCAAGCCCTGCAGCTTTGATGGTGGCGTGTACACCTGCAGAGCCAAGAACGCCCAGGGAGAAGCCATGGTGTCCTGCAAACTGGAGGTCAAACGTACGTGTTACGAAAAAAATACGTTCAAAATTTTCCAGACTTGTATTGTTGAATAAAAAAACTCTAAAGGTAAACTCATTCATATCATACAATGGACTAAAAGTTCATCTCTCTCCAAACAGAAGTTCTTCTTCCGGAGGCTGGAAAATAAAAAGGGAAATAAGAAAATAAAAAGGTAAGGATTAAGATACAGAAGAAAATAAAAAATAAGCACAATTATAGTTTAATGTTTGAAAATAAAACAATAATTTACATGAACGTCTTTAAGAATCTGTTCTACGGGTTAGATTACAAATTCAAACTCATAAATACGTTTCCCAGCATCACCAGGATTGCCTGCTTCTCTTTTCAGCTCTCTTTTCAACCTTTCTTCTCTATGATTGCTTTCCACTTGTGATCCTGCTTTAGACATAGTCATGTGGCACAGATTTGTCAAAGTCAAATGAAATTGGATGTTTTTCCGCTTTTCACCTTGTAATACATCGGATATAAACCTCTTGCACTTTAATAGGTGCAATACAAGTATATTTAAATTCTCACTGCACAGATTTTCCCACTGTTTAACTTGACCAACAGAATGCAACTTGGACTAATATTAGTTGGAGGCTGCTAAAAACAATCAATAACAATGAACTAGCACATAATGACATAACTTTGCTCTGCTGCATTGCTGATAAGATGTATAAACCTGAACAAACTTACAGCATAAGTATTTAAATCTAAAAATCAAGGTGAACTTTATAATCTACATGCATCTTCTCTTTTCATTGAATGATGTTGATCTTAATTCATGGGAAATGACTTGTCAAGTTCTTGTTTCGTCTTCACAAAGATCAGCACATTTTGCAACATGCAGTGACTGCGCAATAATCTGTCTTACAAAAGCAAGGGGTAACCGAAAGTAGAACAAACAAACAAAACAAAAAAAAGCATGTCATCTTGTGTTTTTTGTGAACTTAAATAGAAACCTAAACAAGACAGGACCATTTTGTAGTTTAATTAGTCAGGGAAAAATACACACTTAAAAGTAGCTTGAGACAGGACTGGTAAGGAAACTCAACCAGACACAAAACCAGCAAACTCTATAGGATGATAACCTACAAAATTACAAAATAGCAGTCACTAATATTTAAAGAAAAAAAACCCTGCAATGTTTGTTATAAGAGCAAAATCAGTTCAAAACAGATTTCCAGCAAGATGTATCGAGCACATAAAAGGCATGATGAAATATTAGCTTCAACATGGTCTATTTTCTATTTTTATTGATGATACTCGGTAAATTTCTAATGAATCCAAAGTAGTGATGATTTTTATAGTGCTCTCTACATTTAACATGCTGCAAATTCAAAAGAAAAAAAATCAAGTTTGAATGAAAATAGCCTTTAAACTAGAAGATCATATTCGTAAGAGAGATACACCATGATTGGAGAACAACAAAAGGGGCCGACTGCATGAGGCTGGGAATGTTCACACCACGCCTCATATTAGACTGTGTTTAGAAATTCACAGCTTTCCTCTTCTGATTTGATCGCCGTGATTCCAAACACAATCTGTCCCAGAAATACTGCAGTCATGTCAGAAAGCTGTGGCCGTACACGCGAGGCAGCCTTAGAGGGACAAAGGTTTAGACGGGGGAGCGCCTTCGAGTGGGAAGGCATCAGTGATGTCAGAACAGGGATCCACAGCTTCTAAAAATGACTCCAGATGATCTGGCACACAGCCCAACTCATCACATTACCATGAGTTGACAGGCTGAGTGGAGCGCAGCGAGAAGAAGGAAGAAAAGGCTAAGAGGGCAGAAACAGAACCAGATAATCCTCGGGGGGGAACGCACGCTGGATCTGGCCTTCAGAAATCCACTTTCATTTTAGCAGAACATTCTTAGCTAAAGTGATCCTTAACACCTTGTGAACCCATTTAACTCATGCCTTTATTGTCTTTCCATCAGTGAGTTAAATGAGCAGCAGATGCGTGGGTCTTAAGGTGAGTTTGAATCAAACATCTATTTCATACGTCAGCAGTCACATCATGTAACCTCTCTCTGCTGAGGGAGAAAGAAAGCCAATGAATGGTTTAATGTTACGTCCTCTGAAATCATAGAGCTTGAGAACTTTGGATCATGTTTTCATTCCCTCATGATATCTATCTAACATTTCTTCCAGAGTGTTATAGCAAGTGAGTGAAGATACTGCAGATTGCTGTGCAGAAGCATGTAGATAACGAAGACGGAGTCAGAACAACTTGCCAACATATTTATTTGTACACTAAACATCCGGACTGTCCCTTTGCTTATAAAGTGCAAGACAGACATACGTTACACCAGTTCTTTCCTTCTCATTCGGACAAACCTGTTTTTGACATAAATGTATGCAAAACTATATGTGAAGCTTTTTTTTCCCAGCTTGTGTGTGGATTTAACAAGCAATAAAACAAAAACAGTTCATCAGATGCAATAACTCATGTTAATAAAAAAAGTGTATTTTATTACAACTCGTGTGGGATTCTTTATTTGACTCAAAATAAATGTGTTGAATTGATCAATTTTGGCAGTTTAGGCAATTCTTCACACAGTCATAACCTACTAACACTTGGTTTAATGAATATGCTATTTCTGTGCTTGAATGGCCTGCAAACATCCCATAAAGAATTGTTGTGCAACGATAGGTTTGGCTATTGAACAGCAATTTAAAAAGTAAGTAATTTTGATCAGAATTACCAAGTCACAACATCACCTGGTCACCATGAACTATAAGCCTAAAGCTCCTAATCTCTCTCAGTTATTGTTTTGTGAAGTTTGGTATTGTAGATCCTATAGATGAAGGATGGTCTGTTCTCAAACAGATTGATTTGGACACGTGTTGAGGTGTAAATGGAAGTAAGTGCTGCTGTTCTTTGTACTACACAGACCAAGCATGTGAGAAACATAAAATGTTTTCTTCAGTGTGTATCAACTAAACGTATGTTTCCCTATATAGCATATTCAATTCATTTACAAAAACAACGCTATAGAAATTAAAGGGAGTAAAAAGAAACCTGATTTTAACAAATATGAACTTTTTATGTAATTCTATCCTTTCAAAATAATTTTTGTGACTGTGATCAAGTGGAGTTGCATACAGGAGCCTGTGTGCAACTCAAAAGACCCATGGCAAAGTTACTGTACAAATTCAACTTACCGTACAAATGTCATGACGAGTGAATGGAGGCTTGACTTACTGGAAACATTAAGTTAAATATGAAAACATGCTCTTCTATTTTTATCTTTTTTTTTTTTCAAGCACTGTACCTCTAAATATTACTGTCACAACAGCATACTTTGCTTTTGATTAAACAGAAGTTGTGGTTTAGTCAAAAATGTTACTGGTAGGAACAGAGCTTAAATTATAACTTTGAAATTACTTTAAAAATAACTGTCAGAAGTCATCCTGTTAATACTGCTTGAGGACGCAATTAGTACACTAATAAATTATGACTTCAGTCAGGGACATTTCATGCAAGAATTCAGTATGATTGTGAATTAATAAACTTCCACATCACAACTGTTTCAGGCTAAAACCTCCGATTAGGAATATGTGCGACTCTGACACCTTGTGGTTCATTTGATAATTGCCTAAATTGACAAGGGAACAGAAACCTGCTACATCCGGAGACATTTTAAACAGACAGGAAGTTGTTTCTAAGCAACTTCAGCAGCAATCAAATCAAACGCAACACAGCAGGGTTACTGTTTATAGTACTGCACATGTACATTATAAGTAAAATAGTTGTACATGTTGTAATAAGAAGTAAGCAAATGTGTGGAGGGTTTTTCTCTTGATCGCACTTATTGGTTGTTCTTTCTGCGAAAGTCACACACACACACACACACACACACACAAAAACTGAAGTGCAGTCTGTGGTTAGTGAGAGAGTTTTTTTTTGGGGGGGGGTGTCTTTTTAGTTTCTGCTTATACCTAAATTAAGTTGCAGGTACCATGATGAAAAGATCTCTAAAACTGTACCTACATTGGTTTTAGAAAATGCAATGATTTGCTCATCTTATATTTTGTACAGGAATTCATACAAATTGTTTCCATTAAAAGGAAAGAATAATGCAACAACACACACACACACACACATATATATATATATATATATATATATATATACTTCTACCTGCTCTCACTTCTCTCTGCTTCTTCGACACTGACAAATAATAAATTCAGCATCAAAATGACCGATACTGTATATTAGTTCTTTCAATTCCTCAAAGTCTGTCAGTTTTCATCACAAATCAGCATGTCGAACACTGAGCATTCTGAATGTGGTACGCCAACACATTTCCTGTTTCTTTAGCAACCTGAACCAAAAACAAGAAAAGAAAAGAAAACCAGATATCAGAGTGACAGGAAAGCTGCTTTCCTGAGGTGAGATCGGAAGCAAAGATTTTTTTTCTTTTTTTCTTTTTTTGCACACACCCTTCTTGCGCTGCAAGCTTATTTCCTCTACTTCATTTCACTGCATGGCAGTTAAATGACTCAGCTCAGTAAGACAACCTCCACATGTGAGACTCAATGGAAAATGTTGTTTCTCCAAGTCTTCACACTCATATGTAAGTTTTTCAACATTTGAAACAAAATCATTTATATCGGTAAAGATTGATAGAGACTATAACTGCATGTTGTTTTCTCTCTTATGTGATCGAACAGATCTGACATCTGTCTGTGCAGCTCAAGATGGAACTGGTAGGAACGAACAATCTGTCTAACTGTGCTGCATTGATCGGATATTTCGACGATAGTTTAGCATTTGCCCACTTCCTTTTTCCTTTGTTTCTGCTTTTAACTAAAATGCACACAGAATATTCTTGCACTTTGCTCCGCTGTTGTGAACCATTTTATTAAATGCACATTGTACATTTGATATTTTTAGGTTAGCAACTGACCAAAGTAACACTCAGGAACTAAACATGAGGAACATGAAGTACTTTATTGTCATGGGTTTGGCAGTTACAACATTTAGACAGCAGCTACTCTTTGTGCGCTCTGAGTTCCCTCATGAAAACCTAATAGTTATTAGTTATAACATTTTAAGTTGATTTCTAATCCACTTTGTACATTTAGCTTTATAGCTTATGGTAGACATTTAACTAGTTTGACTGATATCAGTTAATTGTGTTCATTACTGGTTTCAGATTTGCCTGTATGTGCAACATTAGATTTTGTTTTCTTTCCCTTTCCATTCCATTCACATGACTTGAAAAAAACTCTATGGCATTCAAGTAAACTTGATTATTGCAACTAACTCTCAGTGCCTTCGCTGCTCATTACTGTTTTATATTCCACCACTTTTAGGATTTGCTTTTTAAATCCACCATTCACGTAGATAAAACCAGAATCCTGATTTATCTTAAACTTTGACGTCTCCTCTCCCTTCTACTAGCAACTCCAGATGAAACCACATATGTGCCACCAACTACCTATGGTGAGATATTTAAACTTAGATATTTTTTCAATTTTGCACTTTGCATGAATGATGTGGTGACCTTTCAAGTTTTAAATTGCTAAGCTTTATAACATAAAATAAAATGTTGAAAATGTACCACAATGGTGTAGAATTGACTTTAGCGACACATGCAAAGTGAGAAATGACAGACAGGAAATGACATATTGCTGAGTAGGTCATCAAAGAAAAAGTTGGCTTTCAAATCTCCATGAATTGTATTATCAGTTTATATTGTTTATATTGCTTTTTTGTCTGTTTGCTCTACCATTATCAGCGTAATTTGACTTTTTTAAGGACATAAATTATTAACATACAGTATTAGTTCACTCTGGAAATGGTTACATAATTTTAGCAATGCATTCTGAATTAATTACAAAAAGTATGTTTATATTTTCTCATTCAAATTTCTTCTTTTGATACGTTTCACTCATTTTCAGATCCTCCTTTGCCTTCCGTGACTTCAGATCGTTCAGATGTCTACAAAAATGAGAACGTGGTCTTAAAATGTCGTATCAGTAGCAGCTCTGGCTGGACCTTCATCTGGGAGAAAGATGGACAGCAGCTTTCTCAAAATGCAGATTTTTCTTTTCAAGATCAGAATTCGGTGCTTACAATAACTGCAATTAGAAGAGAGCTTTCTGGAAGTTATACCTGCAGAGGAGAGAAGCAGGGAAAAAGTAGCAAAACTAGTAAAATTGACGTCAAAGTTGAAGGTGAGTTTTATGTCTCTTACCACTATTTGTAGTAAAGATAATTATTTTTGCTCTTGGTTGCTTCTTTTCGAAGGCTTAAAGCTCATTTTGACTCTTATGCATTTTTTGTAGAGCTACCTGCACCGTTTCTGATCCGGCAGACTGCCTGGGCAGATCTGTTTGTAGGCGAAGCAGTGACTTTTAAATGTGAGCCAAACCTCCCTACTGAATGGACAATCACCTGGTACAAAAACGGACAACTTCTGGATAAAGAGGGACCATCACTGGACATCGAGTCAGTTACTGAAAACGATCAAGGAGATTATAATTGCCTAGCCAAGCTTAAATCCAGAAATGTCAACTCTGCACCCAGCAACAAAACAAATCTAAGAGTGAAATGTGAGTTTTCATCATTTGTTTATTATCATATCATATTTGCATTAATACAAAAAAAGACTGTGTCCAGTATTTCAAACATTTTTTTAATCTAAACTTAACAGGCATGCCGTACTGTTTATAACTGGTCACTATGGAGTACAACCAGGATCAGTTTTAAGCCTTAGTCTTAAACTAAAACTTTCTACACCAACCATTATGTGGTTTCATCAGGAGATACACCATCAATATTTATAGCTATGTTGATGACACACTCCGTGTTACCTCCTATTAACTCACAATATCCAGTCATGGATGACAGATAAATTTTCTTACACTCTGTCCCCGCAAAACTGGACTTTTAGTGATTGGCATGAACATTCAGAGAGAGAAACCTACATACATCTAAGAGGACTTAGATGAACAATGAACCCTTCAGACTGGTAAAGAACCTTATCGCTCTGTTTAAAATATATATTTTTGAATAATATTTAAGATTTTGTAAAATGCGTTTTATCATGAGGAAATGACCAGTGTTTCACTGTTCAGTGCATTAACCTCGGTACATAAATTTTTTTCAGATTTTTTTTGCTAATAACAGTTTTAATCCTCTTAAAAAATTGCCACTTACCAGAGGAATTATGAGGAACAAGCATACTTCCTAATTTTAAGAGCTCCACACTGGCTACCAATGCATTTTACAATTGACTTTAAGGACTCTCAGTGGTGCTAAAAACACTTTTTTAATTCACCCCACAAGTCTGATTTAATTGTATCTGTCAGGCTCTCCAACCTCCCGCAGAGTCTGGAAAGTGTCTCATGTTGGTGTCCAAAGCAAGAACCAAAACTCATGATGACGTGTTTTCCTAACATGGCTCTCATATAGGGAGTAGGGAATTTAATACACAAAGCTTTATGTATTAAACTCCCGTTAGAGTTGATCTGCACTGCTTAACCGATTAATTGTGTCCAGATGTCCTCTATTTAAAATGTTCGATTTTTATTGCTGTCATTTTGAGTCCTCTTGTGTCAAAAGACTATTTTAAAATTCTTGCTTTTTTTGCTTCTTTCCAAATAGCCAACAATCCAAAGCTCACTCTAAGCAGAAGTCCAGACTTTGACACATTCTACCCTGAAGAATCAATCAACTTCAAATGTAATGTTGACGTCACCTCCGAATGGAAATATCAGTGGTTTAAGGACGGGAAAAAAATCACTGACGACAGCAGTAACAGGCATACAATAGCCTCTCTGAAGCCTTTGGATAAGGGACAGTACCACTGCAAAGTCCAGAGAGGCAGAGGCCCATTATACGAGAGTAACAAGGAATCAGTACAAGTTGCTGGTAAGCTCTCAAGTATGCTCAGTTTGTAATGGGATTAGAATGCTTTCCAAGCAGTGTAATCATTTTGCAAATATTTTTTTCTTAATTTCCAGAACCTTTAAAAACAAATGACAGAAATGATCATTGTGAAAATATTTATGACAAAGCTCATAGAAGAGACAAAAACAACTCTTGCGATTAATTACTATATAGCGGCCATCTAAAATGTGCTGTTAGAATTAGACTACTACGATGTTCATTCAAAAACACATTATGTTGTTACTTTGCCAAGCAAAAGTAAGGCTTTTGCTTCTCCTTTCGGTTGGCTAAATGTTTGCTAGTAATATATTTCAGTGGTGCAAATTCCTGGCTGCATGCTTGGAATTAAAATACTGAAAATCAATTCTGACTTAAGCATCAGTTCTATCGGAAAATTCCAGCAAACTATTGTGAGAAGCTTGTAACAGCACACCCAAAACGTTTGCTCCTATTTTTACAGTTTAATGGCAATTCTATCAAATATAAAAAAAAATGTTTGCAAAGTTCCACAAATAAAAATTCAGAAAACAAAATGCCCTTTTTCCTTATTGTGACATTTAGCATTTAGACATAATTTTGGCAGTCCTATCTGCTCTAAAACAGGAGCTTAAATTGACTTAAAGACGGATCATGAAAAAAGAAATCAACATTTAAATATGTGGTTTCTATTGTCTAGGGTTTTTTTTTTTGTACAAAACAGACAAAATTCAAGAGTGCACCCATATAAACTGAAATCATGCAGCGTATGACAAGAAACAGATAGTCAAAGCATGCTACAACCACATTACTTTGTAAAATACTTCTGGTAATACCTGTTTCTGTTCATTGTTTCTATGGCAAAACCCAAAAAAACTGGAGCTTTCTGAGCATGTTGGTTACTTGATAACACTGCAGCCAACACCCAGCTCTAACCCACAGAGTTACTCGTTCAAAGGTGTGAAAGAGATTCTGAGAGTGTATCAGCATTGCAATTCAACACCATGCTATGGTATATGGGTGTATCCAAAACAGATCAGAGAAATCATACCAGTGCTAATGGCAACGATATAAAGAAGTGAATACTCTGAACAAACAAACAGCAAACATTCATGTTCGATGGCAAACCATGGTAGAAAATTTAATGATTGGATATGCCTTTGCACTGGTATTTTTAAGACTATGGCAAAAATCTGATACTTATTTTTCCAAAGTAAGACTGTTGGATGAAAACCAGTCTCATATCCACTCTAAAATCAATATTATTGAGAACTCAATAAAATTTAATATCCTTGAAAAGCTGATGAAATGTATCTTTTCAATTGCAAGAATTAAATTAATCTCTACAATATAAATAAAATATAAAAAGAAATTCAATGTATTTATTTTGGCAAATTTTGATAACTATGACTTACCAGTTTCTCGGACAATTAGAAAAATACAAATAAAAAACAGTGTTGCACTGCAATGAACTGGCAGCCCGTCTATGGTGTACTCTGCCTCTCACACAATAACCTCTGGAGATGAGCACCAGCTACCACCCGACCACACATTTTACCCTGCAGGTCAAAATTTCTGAGCTGAAGGTAGACCCCAATTTCAGTTTTAACAAAAACCTAGAATGTTTTAAGAGCACAACTGCATCAACTGTCATGGTGGTTCAAACAGTTAAATTAAATTCAAGTGCCTCATTTGGCCTTCGGGTCACACTTTGTTCACTGCTGGCCTACACAGTCAGGGGGAAGACGGCTGACTCAACGGTTCTGCAGCAGACAGTGCATAGGCACACTCCACTGGGAGGTTAAGCCACAAAAGGTCATTGGTAAAAGAGATGACTGTTGACATAGTTTTGTATTCAAGCATAGTAAAAGGCAGCTGAGTGTCATGAGGATAAGCAGTAGCAGTAACAGCAGGATCATGCAGCAAAGCCAATTCAAATGTTTCCAGGATATTTACAATATGTTTATCAGAGAGTCAGAGGATCAAAGACATATCCAGGATAGGGCAGATATTCCTTGTCCTGTGCCATCAGAACATCAAAAGCATATTGGAACTGGCATGTTTTTTTTCAAAAGTCAAAGCACAGACTCAAAGTCCAAGGTCAAAGGTTTTGAGCCTTGTTTTAAAGGAACTCAGTGTCTCAGCTGTTTTATTTATTTAGGTTCACCTGAATAGTACAACTTAGTTCACTCTTTGTTCAGTATGTAATCTTTGTTATGTTGATGAAATTTTCCTCATTCTTTCTTTCTTCTGAACAGACAACAAGCCCAAACCTGTTCTTACCAGACATCCAATCTTCCCTACAATGTACCCTGGAGAATCAATCAACTTCACATGTACCGTTGATATGTACTCTCGATGGGAATATGAGTGGTATCATGACAGGGTCAAAAATCCATCATTCAGCAATAAAATATTTCCAGTGGGTTCTGTGAGCCATCGTGACAGTGGAGACTACCATTGCCTTGCTAAGAGAGGCCAGCTGAGAACAGATCAGAGTGACGCTGTTTTCCTGCAAGTCTCTGGTAAGCACATAATTATATATATCTTCTGTCACCAGACAAACTTAATTCATGCAACTGTACCACAATAGTGGTACAACTGCACTTTCCCCTAAATATTTGATGCATGGCTAAGAAGTCATAACATAAACATTTTATAACTGAAACTTCCAAAATAAATCTTGATTTGAAGATGTTTTTTTGACACATTCTTGCAGACACACCAACGCCAATCCTGAAGCTGCTGAGCCCCTGGTCAGATGTTTTTGAAAATGAGGTCTTGAACTTTAGCTGTGAGGTGAGCAGTTCTGAGTGGACCTTCACGTGGCACAAAGATCAAACTCTAATTCCAAATGAAAACGGGTCAGTGCTCAAGATCACAGCTGCCAAAGTGAGCGATAAAGGGCGGTACTCCTGCAAAGCGCACCATAGCCAGAGAAAAGGAGTCAGCTCTGCAACTAGCAATACATCTAGTGTGTCCGTGTATGGTAAGTTATAAAGCATTTATAACACTATACAGATCTAGCTTTACATTAAAAATAAAAAAATGTTCTACTTTTAACAATGTTGGATCTGATTTCTCCACATTAAAAATAATATTTACATAAAAGTTGAGCTCAAAAGAAAAAACAAAGAAATGCACTAAATTGCACCAAATTGCTACATCCTCACCCTTTTTGTGCACAGAGGCAGTAACATATTCTGTATTGTTTTTCTTTCTATAGATAAGTTACCAACACCCACATTAAGCACAGAGCCAAGTTTTACCCCAATGTATGTTGGTGAAACTGTGAAATTAAAATGCACAGTAGATGTTTCTTCTGGCTGGAGTTATCATTGGTACAAAGATGGAAGCAATCTGAACAAAAGTGGCAAAGAGTTAAGCATAGTCCTGAATCTTTCTGACAATGGAAGATATTCTTGCGAAGCCCGAAGAGGTGACAAAACATCAACAGGACGAAGTACAGAAAAACAACTGGATGTTCGAGGTAGGTCAATAGAGGCAAAAAATCCTTTGTTTCTTTTAAAGTTTTAATGTTGGCATTTTGAATTTTGTCAAGCCCCCCCGAGAGGCTGTTTTAGTTTTAGTAAACCATAGGCTTTCCGCTTTTCATGCCATTTCAATATGTTGAAACAGGATGTTGTGGTGTGAGCTTAATTCTCAGAGGAACGCCTCAGTGTGTGCAGTGTGTGCGGAGGTGGAGTTATTCAGGAAAGATTAGCTGATGTGTCTTCAGGCTAGAAGTCACAGGAGTTAAATCATAGAAACGGAAATTGTGAGGTAATTGAGATAGGAAAGGGGTGAAAAAGTTTAGAAAAAGTAAGAAAGCACATAATGATGCAATTATATAAAAGTTGTAATTTGTTCATAATAGTTGCAATAAAAAACTACAGTTTTTTTATCACAAGTTTAACAAAAATATACTCCATTGCACGTTCCTAGGCATACAATAAACCTGTTATTGCAAATCAGCTTATTGTAAAGTTATATAAGATATATCTATAAGGACCAATGACTTAACAAAATGCACAAACTTACTAACATCTAAATGTAAGTTTGAGGTAAGAAACAGATTATTAAATCTAGAATGTTTCTGTCTGTCCAAACCATGTATTGTTACTTACTTCAAGTTAATGCGATCATCATTTCCAACATGACATTTGTCAATGAGAGTCACTTAGAAATTTCTGTGGTCACAATTTGAATAAGGCAATAAACTCCAGTAATCTGTGATAATCAACCAGTAAGCTTAATGAAACCGATCAGGAAAGTTTTATTCCTCTCCTATGAAGGTGAAGAAAAATACTTGGAGTTATCTTGGAGTTATGTTGCCCTACCTGACCCCCCGCTCGACATCATTTCATTTCTGTGAATGAAGAAACAAGAATTGATAGCTCTGAATATATGCATTTTTATCACTTCTAATTTCATTACTAGCTGTAGTGTGATTTGGTGAGCGTAACGGAAAAGGTTCACAGAACAACAGGTCTGGCCTAATTGCATAAACCAAATTAGGTTAAATATTTTTCTTTCAATCACCACAAACAGGATGTCAAAAATGGTTAATGCATCTCTTTGTCATTAGAAATTCCTGTTCCACGGCTGAGTCACAAAACACCGTGGCTGGACGTGTTCCAGACTGAGAGCGTGCAGCTGAGCTGTCGGATGGAGGGAAGCTCCGGCTGGACATTCGTGTGGTACAAAGATTCAAAGGAATATCACGGAGGCACTGTCACTAATAGTGGAGCGGAAGGCATTCTTTCCATCAGTCAAGCTTCACCCTCACACCGTGGACAATACAGCTGCTCAGGAAGACTGACGGGCAGGTCTGTCAACAGCACCAGGAGCTCTGCACTTGAGCTTCATGTCTATGGTGAGATGTCTGCTCTTGAAGTCACTTGTGATGTCATTGAATGGGAAGTCAGAAAAGTGACTTTGACAGGTTAAGAACAGTAATTTTAATAAAATAGATGAACAGTTTTTAAAATATCTCTATTTTTGTCATGAGCTAATACAATTATCAGCATCTAACCTCATAAAAACTGTGAAAATATTTAAATAGAAAGAAAATGTGATCAATCATAAATCAAAGCAATTATATAAAAATTTTGATTAATAACGGAGTTTCTGCAGGTTTTAATAATTTAATTTTGTAGTTTTCAAAACATTATATTTGAGGCTGAAAACTAACAAAAAACACACAATGGTAATACATCCACTATGTAAGATGGTAATGGAAAAATGGGAATAATGGAAGAAAATCTGTATGATGACAATGAGTGTGAGATTTATTTCTAACCCAACATTTATCCAAAGCTGATTCTGGTGCATCACTTTTTTGTGCACAGAGGCAGTAACATATTGTGAATTGTCTTTCTTTCTATAAACAAATTACCAGCACCCACATTAAGCAGAGATCCGACTTTTACCCCAATGTTTGCCGGAGAAACTGTGAGTTTAAAATGCATAGTAAATGTTTCTACTGGCTGGAGTTATCATTGGCACAAAGATGGAAACACTCTGAACAAATCTGGTGAAAAGTTAAGCATAGTCCTGAATGTTTCTGATAATGGAAGTTATTCTTGCGAAGCCAGAAGAGGTGAAAAAACATCGACAGGACAGTAAAGAAACACACCTGGATATTCGAGGTAGGTCAAAACAGGTGAAAAGCCCATTGTTTCTTTTAAAGTTTTCATTTTGAATGATCTTAAGCCATTTGGATTAAGATCCCAAATGGCTGATTTACCTTTAAAACGTCAGAGTTTCTCCTTTTCATGCGTTCTTGGTATGTAGATCCACAATGTTGTGGCGTGAGCATAATTCTCCAAAGAACATCTTGGTGTGGGCAGTGCGTGTATGTTGGTGCAGGTTTAGGAAATATTAGGTGATGTGTCTTCAGGCTTGAAGTCACACGATTTAAATCCTAGAAACAATTAACACACCATGGTAAAACATAGGGAACATGGTATCAAACTAAGGGAATGTCTTTTTTTTTTAGCAGAGGTAATAAATTTAGTTAAGAGTGAATGATGAAAATGGATGAAGCTTCACACATGGGAATTATGGAAGAAAATTTGTAAGAGGCTGCAGAAATTTACTTTCTAGCTTTACATATGCCCAAAAGGATCAAAATGATAGCAATGTTTTAATCTAATAACTTTTCAGATTTTCGTCAGATTTTTGTTTTCCCTTAAATTAGATTCTTTTTTGTTTCGTAATGTAAATTTAGCAGTAAGGTACCCACACTTCTATATAAGTTATTATTCCTGCTTTTTTACATCTTCTTTGCCATCATTGTGAAATTTCAGATGGAAAACCAACAGTCACGCTCCTGCAGAGTCCCCCGGATAAGTTGATGCACACCAGTGATTCGATTTCCTTCACCTGTTATGTCAATGTCTCCTCTGGATGGAAATACACATGGTACAAAGATAACAAACAATTTAAGACATCTGGAAACATTCACGAAATTGCTTCTGCTACAACATCAAACAGTGGATCATATAAGTGCCAAATTGAAAGGAAAACAACAACAACATTTTCTTCAAATAGTGGGGATGTGAAACTTACAATTGAAGGTGTGTTTTAATCTTGATTCTTTAGATTACTGTATTGTTAAACATGTTATATCAAGTCTTTGACTGCATTTGTTGCAGAGCGCCCAAAGGCCAATATAGTCCTCTTAACAACATGGTCTGAGGTATTTTCCACTGACAGCTTAAAGCTACAATGTGAAGTGATGGGCAGTTCCGACTTGTGGGACTATACATGGTAATGATACATATAAATAAATGTTCTATATTTGTTTGTATTGTTTAAAATGCATTTCCATTGTAAGAAATTCTCTAAAATGACTGCAACAGGTATAAAGAGGGCATTAACGTCAGTCAGTCGCTCTTATCGACACATAAGGTCACGCCTAATAATGACCCAGAGCAGAGCTCATATACCTGTGAGGGCATTCGCACCGAGAGACCAATGTTTTCCCAACGCAGCGACTCCTACAGAACCAAGAACCTCCGTGAGTGCACCTCACTCATTGATTTTCACCTTGAAATGTTTGATCCCTTGTTTTTTTTTTTTAATTCATTGTTTGTGTTGTATGTAATTTGTAGTTTTAAAGAGGAGGATCCTTCTTTCCATCTCTGGTTGTCTTTTCTTCGGCATCATAGCTGTTTTCATCGGATGCGTTGCCCTAAGAATCTTTCGGAAACCAGGTTTGGGATTTTCACCTTTACAATTTCTCAACGTCCCGTATATTGGTTTAAAATTGCTAAGTCAATTTTGCTAGATCGAAAGTCATGACAAGAGACTTTGTGTTAAGCTGAGCTTGACGAGCCACACCGATTCCTTTTAGCTTTTCTGGCTGAATTGAACAAAAGACCAACAACAGCTCATGTACCCGATCAGTCAGGCCAGTGTGGCCGACTGGTGTAACAGAAACCACTTTAGACTAAAACATCTTAAAGCTTTTATTAAGCTATGCGTTAACATAGCTTTACCACCACAAACGAAGCCAACGTAGCTGCTGGTGAAGGTCAATATTTATTTAAAATGTATGTGATGTTAATTTCCGGTAAGATGTGGCAAACAAAATCCACTAGGGTTGTTTTTTTTTTTTTAACTTTTGACATTTTGTTATTGTCACATAGTTGCCGCAGATGACAAGCCAGAGGAGGCCACTCTGTTTCTTACCATGGCTGAGTTAAAGGACCGAAATGGTAGGTAGAGCCCACATTGTGTGGTTTGGTGGGTGTAGATGACCTTTTCTGAATGTCCTACATACTGCCCTGCAGATGATTTGAGTTCAAGGGGATTTTTTTAAAAGGGATTTTTGGACCCATCAGCTCACAAACGTAAGTTTGTGTCATACTGGAATGCATCTTAAATGTTTCAATTTCTTCCCATCTTCTGCTGCAGATGCACCATGTCCTCTGGTTGAGTACATCACTGACACGGATGTGAATCCACCTGCCAAAGGTAATATAAAGATCTGATGTTTTGCAGATTAATCCAGACTATTAAAACCAGAAAATACCAAGCAGAGGACAGATAATTTTTCTTCTTTGGTTGCTAAAATGAGCTTCTCACCTGATTGCGAATGATATTGTTTTATCTGGTGTGAAGAAGGGGAGGAGAACGGCACAAGCTGCAGTGAGACAACATCTCTCCCAATAACATCGCCGGATGAACAAGGTATTTCTTTGCAAACTACAAAACAACACTCGAACGAAACATTTCTGACCTGTCTTTCTGCACCTTTGTTTTCAGCTGCGACAACCAACGGGAAAGAGACAACAGAGAATGGTGGAGGAATGGTTTCTTTTCTGCAGTGAATTACTAGAGACAACCCTAAAATGTTTTTCGCTGGTGGTTACGTATATTTGAGAGACAATTGCACAGCATGTGGCTCGTCAAGCTCAGCTTAACACAAAGTCTCGTCATGACTTTCGATCTAGCAAACTAGTAGTTTATCTGTATGACATGAAAAGGTGTAAATAAGATGATCAGGCAAATGGATTTATTTAATGGTTAGCACTTTCGGATTTGGCAAATAAAACTGTATAGATTTTTATTTTTTATTTTACATAAATAACCTAGTAAAAAAAATGTAGAGTTTTGAATATGGCTTTTTTCAATTCATGGTTCAGTTCTCTAAACAGACACCAGATGTCAGTATGACTTCTTCCAGTTTTGTTTTTAATATTTTGAATGGTTCATGACTGGATGTATTTTGCATTGCTTTGCTCTTTTAAAAGCGACTCGTTGTATCGTGTTTGATATATTTATCTACAAACCGTGTATCTTCATGTATTAATTTTAAAAAATAAGAAGTAGAAAATGTTGCCATTAGTGCTCGCATCTAAAAATGTATCCGCAGTGTCAAATGTGACAGCAAAAAAAAAAAAAGAAGAAAAAGAAATAAAAACAAACAAAAACAAAGTGATGATTTCACAAGCGGGCTGCTTCAGTCAGGTTGGACCTGCAGACAGTAACAAGACAGGAAATTCACATGGAGTTATTATCCAGAAAGACAATAAAAAAAATAATAAAATAAAATTTCATGGTATCACTCACTCTCATCTACTTCAGGATATCAGTCAATCTCTCCACATAGTACTCATAGTTCTCCTGGCAATCCTCCCACGGTGTAAAGCTTTCGCCCTCCTGTTCCACATACATTTCCCAAACATGCTGGAAGTCAATGGGCTTCATCATCCGCAGCTTGCAGCCGGCCCTCACCAGGGCCTTCAGGCCTTCCACGATCTCCGGCTCCTCCCATTCAAAGAGACGGGAGCAGAATATGGAGAGGCGCAGCTTCTTGCGCTGCTGGAGGATGTTGGCCAACTTGGCGGCACAAGCGACGCAGGGGCTGGATGAAACGTACCATGTCACGTCATATTCCTTAGAGGAGTTTGGGAGAACCTGAAGAAATAATGCAGGTTGGGTGTTTGATGGCATGAAAATAGAAAAAAAAATAATTATTTGAATGGTTTGATCTGAGGGCAATGGAGAAAGATCATTTATCTCTTATTTGAACTAGAACATCCGCATGAAAATTATTTGACCTTACTCTTAATGGGTATTAGAAAAATCAACAAATTTATCTATCAGACTCAAGTCAAGACCAGGGCTGGGTGAGTCCAAAAAAAAACAATATTAGATTCTGCTGGTGGTTCTGGAAGAAAAGTCGGTCTAGTGAAAACTATGTGCATGCAGCAGCATTATAAGCACTTATATTTGGTTTGGGGTCTTTCTGCATGCCTCAGTGTGAGCTGGCATGATGGAGATCAACCAAAAGAACTGTTGAGAAGTTAAGGAAGCAAAATATTCCTTCAGCTCATCTGCACTGTTGGCTTTAGTGTCTCTCATGTTCCCTTTCACAACGTTCCTTAAATTCCTGGGTTTCTCCAAAAAGCTGCCCTATAGTTTATTAGTTGTGCTGACTTTGGACAGACCACTAATTTTGCAAGATTCATGCTGGACCTTGTGCAACCGCTTTCAGACTCTGGGAGTTTGATTTCCAAATGAGCAACAGCAGAGATGCTTAGATTGTATCCGTCTGTCTGTATGAGATGTTTTGAGAAAAAAGGATGCCGAATGTCACAAAAAAAGAGATCTGCTGTAAGTGCACTGCACAGGTGTGGACGGTGCATTTTATGGTCTCCCATTACGGAGTTTCTTAAATTAGAATGGCAGGCAGCCCATTCAGCTATCAGATTTCCCTTTTTCTGACATGAAATCAGACTTTGGATGTAGACAGTCTCTCAGTTATCCCAGTTGAATATGTGACATTTGACCTGGTGCTGATGTATTTGAGTAATGCTTTAGTAATGCTGCTTCAGGCCTAAACTCACTTGGCTAAATTAATGAATTTGACAATATAGTAGAAAATTAACCAAACAATGTGTCTTTCCTGCATTGTTGCTTCATGTTTGTGAAGTATCCCCTCACTGATCTCACTGCCCGACCAAACGTCTTGAGTCTGTTTTTGTTCACTGATTAAAATGAGATAACTCTCCTCCTTGTGAAGGTAAAGAATTAAAGAAAATCTTGATTGGATTTAAATCGCTTTTAGCGTGTTTATGTTTTTCAACTTTACAGAAGTACGCAAGATCAAATTATACTGAACTGAACTGAACTAAACTAGATTGGATTTAATCAAGGGGAGGAGATTGAATTAGACAGAATTGGATAAAATGAAATTGAATTATTTGTAATATGTATTAATACTAACTTTCATTTTTTTAGGAGCCCCAAGGTGACATTTTCTGTCAGATGATGCTACACAAACAAAACTTCTGTTGAATTACTTTCAGGTTTGTTGCACAGGAAGATTGTGATGTCAGAAGGACAAATGGACGAAATTTTAAATATTAATAAAGATTTAAGAATCATCAAAAAAGAAAAAAAAAACGTAATATGAGAAGATATTTACTTCCACTCCTATATATTTATTGCGAGCAAATGTCAGTCACATAGGACATACTGATGAGAACTAAGAGAAGGTTAAGATCAAGCATCTTTGGGATGAACTACAAAAAAAGAGTGTGAGAGAAATAAACCATTTTTCAGGACCATTTGCAAAATATATTAGAAAAGTAGAACAATTTTCATCCTGAAATTTGTCATTAAACACCTTACTTGAATAAAACAAATGTACAAAAATAAGACCTTTTTTTTTTTACTTATCATACCAAAAACATTTGTCTTTTTTTTCTTTCCCAACAACTGTCTATAAGGGCATCTTGTAGCATTTTGATTTTGCAAGCCACTGCAGTGCTTGCGGCCTGCACTAGAGCTTTTTATCACCTCCTGGAAGAAGGCCTCCTCAGCGTGGGCTGTGGCATGTTCATCCTCCATGTAGCCTTTCAGGGGCTCTGCGTTGCTTCCTGCTGTGTCCACTCTGAAACACAGGAGCGTTTTGTTCCTGCCCGATGAATACTCCACGTTCCTGAACTGAAACTTGAAGTAGAACGGGCTCATTCTCTCCCTGATTGACAGAGAGAATGAGTAAGAGTTATCACCACATCAGACACAGAGTGCGTTTGCTCATCAAAGAATTCACAAACCACTGGTTCACAATAATACCAGGTCCTTCCGACTGTCAGAGATACATCATTCCGTTATATTGTCACAAAAAGTCTTCATCAATATACCAGGTAACTAATCTGATATGCGTGTCACATTCTCTCTTTGGTTTGCTTCATTAATCTGTCATGCTGCATGCAAACAGCCAGATGGTCTCACATAAAGGTCTAGTACTTTGAAAATAAAATGTGTCAAACAACAGTGATTGGGGAGCAGATGCTGGGTATAATGATATGGCCAAACTTGGTGTTTGCATGACTCATCTCTATTTTTACTGTTAGGAAGTTAAGAGACAGCAGGTGCAAACGACTTGCATCCCTCCTTACTAAAAAACAGTTTCTAAGCTAGTAATCAGAGGACGGCTAGAAATCTTACTCACCCGGTGACAATTTCAAAAGGTGGCAGCTCTATGGGCTGAAACTCTCCATTATCCTCACTGTTATTGGCTGCTGCCCCTGCTGCGCCTGTTGCCCCTTCGCTTTCACCATTTGTCTTTTTCTCCTCGGTCCTCTGTGGCTCTGGGGTGTTCTCTTGCTTTTTGCTGAGCTTGTCTGGAGTTTTTACAGCCTTCTCTTTGGCCTTTTCCTTGTCCTTCTCCTCATTTGCTTTGGTTTCTGGCGCTTTCTCCTTCCTACGAACGCCTAACCGGCTGGTTCTGTCGGCCATGATGGTGTGGAAGTAGGTTACAGTGTTGGGAAGGGTTAGAAATAGATAGAGGGAGAGAGTCAGTGCAAGTGGGGTGATAACCCAAGAGCAGTTACGGAAATAGACCCCATTGTGTGCTGAGTTAGGAGTCAAGCATGTGCATGTCTGATCTGGTGCTGGGGCAAGCAGCTCAGTTAGCTGAGCCCTCTCCACCCCCTTTCCCATGGACGGGCTAAGAAAAGGCCAAAGGACCGACCACGACAGCGTAAATGTGTATGGTAGGGAGAAGATTTATTTTATTTTTTTTAATTCAGCCACCTTTCACACAGTTGCCAAAGCAAACGGAGAAACAGACACAAACTCTGTTCCATCTTTAATCCTTTGGCCGTTCTATCTGTCAACAGGCAGGCAACAGGCACGTTATTAATAACATTGCTTGGCTGCACATATGGGGTATCCGGGGTTATTTCGATACCGAGCGCAACTTTTTTCTTGGTGCCAACTCTGAAGTCCTGCAATGCATCAGGCATTATGGAGGCCACCTAAAGAGCACTAAAAACAGGAGCGTATTTGGAGCAAGGTAGTCTGAACAAACATAATGTGCGTGGAGTGCAGAGTGGTCATATACGCGTATGTGCCTGTGAGCAATCAATCTATAAAATCGCCCCGCGTCAGGGGGAGGATCAGTTTGATGAGGGTGTGTGTATGTGTATATTTGTGCAGATGGAAAATGTCTCCCTGCACTGCAGATATAATAACTTGAGGGGAAAGAGAGAGACAGAGAGAAAGGCAAGACGAATAAAGTGAGGCGGGCGCAGTTCAATTACAATTTCCTTCCCTCCCTCTGTCAAGCTCTCTGCCAAGTAATTCATTTCTGAGGCAATTACCAATAGGGCCCCATCCCGGCCCCAGTCGCCTAACTCAAATGGATGAGCTGTCACAGCTCAGGGGAGCGAGGGAGGTAGGGAGGGCGCAGGCTGGAGAGATGCTTCAAGCTGCTCCAGATACAATCACAAACAACAACACACCCAGAGAGCGAGCATTTATAGCACATCTCCGAGATGAACACAATGACACATCCCATGCACATATCTTGGCTGCCACATCTTCATCTGCAGATGGGCGTCCTGTGGTGGCAATCATTAAGATCGCAGCAACCTCTGATAATAATCATCCGTGTAGGAATTCTTTCTGAAGTGGTTTCTCAGCAGAAACAACAGCAGCTGTACTGAAACAAAGCTACTTCTGCGTAGCTTTGTTTCAGCAAGATTAAAAACTTGCTGCTTTTAATCCTGGCTGTAACTTAAGAACATCTTTTAGCGGGGCCCATCTGTGAGCCTACCTGATGGTGAGAAGGAAGCTGATCTGTTGGCTGTTACAGCCGCCTGCCTGCTGACTCAAATTTTATTTCAACAGCACTATTACAATTACCTTGCCTCCCCACCGGCCCATCCCCTAATGAAGGATAACACACTCTGACACAGTCAGGCTCTTCAAAGCAGACATGAGACCATTGCTGTGACATGAATCTAAGCAAAGTCTGTTTGAGAATAAAACAGATAAGATAAATTGGAGCATACCTAAATTCTTATCTGTTTAAACATTTAAAGACTCTTAATGCTACTTTTGTTTAATAATTTTGACAAAACATACCTGTGTTTTAAACTGAAATTCCTTTATTCTCATGTCCTGGTGTTAAGGTTTGCAGTAATTGAGGGAAAGAATTAGGGGATGTATGTTTTGATTTGCAGTGAATGCAATCCTTCTCAGCTGACAATAAAGCAATGACCGGCAGCCAGTAGAGTAGTTTTACATACATTCCTGGAGAAAACAAGCCTTATACTACTGTCAATAATATTGGGAAAATTGCATTTATTCTTGTTCCTTGGGTAGGATTTAAGAAGGGAAGCTGCACTCATTTAATCACAAGCATTTATCTAGAGTATGTATTTGATTTTAAGCAAGGTTTATTGCCAGCATAAAAGCAGTTTTGGCAGACTGCAAAAACTTTAAAGAAGCAATTGTTTCTACACATCAATCTGAGAAAGGTCATCTGGCAATTTATAAATACATTAACATCCATCGTTTCCAAATTGAGAAAGATCATTCACATATGGAACGCATTCAAGACACTTTCTAGCTATAGAATGCAAATTTCACCAACGTCCAAGAGTTATATCTTAGATTTCACAGACAGAAAATCTGGTTTCTGGAGGTTGAGTAGCTAGGGTTGTTTTCCATTTAAAAACACCCACTAAAATGTGACCGACCGATCAGATTTGGATGCAGAGTGGGGACGAAAAGTTTGCAAGGGAGATTGTGACAGAAAGGGGTGGATGACTTAAGCCTGAAAACAAAATGACGCAATTTTTATCACGCAACCGTGACAACAAACGCCAAAGAGTAGGTCAGGATTCATCAACAGCAATGTTAGCAATTGGTCAAAAATTTTTATAGACAACCGAGAAATGTAGTTTTTTCCCTAATTCCAAAAGTTGGTTGCAGAAGCTATTAGATCACAGGGTAAACTTATGTTTTGTCATGACTGTTTGGACAGCAAATAAAATGTTGACCTCTCCTGACTATAGGCAAATATACAACAGATAATTCACTAAGTGAAGGTTGGAACCAGACAATGGGAACTGGATGGTCATTCGCAGACCCTGAAGAGGCAAAATAAAGACAGACGGAAGGAGTATTTTAGTCTTGATCTGATCTCAAACATTTCAACAGTTCATAGTGGCAAAACCCATATGCAGAATATCCACATCTAAAACCATACTTAAGACAGGAAGCTGGTTATTTCAGTCTCAAAATAACAAGTGTGTAATTTACTACGTTGTTCACTGCAACATATGTTGCTGTGAAGCAGAAGTCACATTTCTAAAACTGAAATTGGTCAAAAATTTATATTTTCCCATATTTTCTCTTCAGAGAAAATATGGCTGACTCATAGCTTTAAGTCCACAACAATTTGTAGTTGGCTTTGAGGTAGATGAGTGTCTCCAAGTTCTTCGGTAGGACGTGGCCTCTCTCTGGCAACAGGAGGCGTCTGGCTGCAGAGAAGATATTCTCCACCACAGTGTCACAAGCAGGTATGGTAAATGCTCTTTTGGCGACTTGAGCTAGCAGAGGAAAGTCAATGGTTTTACGGCGCCAGTAATGCAAAGCCTCTTCATCTGTGGGCTCCTCATGAAGGTAGACGGATAACTCCTGTTCCAGGCTTTTGGCCTGTGTCGCAGGTCTCTGCTTGATAAAAGAGAACAATTTGCAGGGGCGAGACAATGAGGAGACTGGAGATGGTGACGGAGTAGGAAGAGTTTGGGACTGAGGGCTAATGTCTGTGTTGAGGTCGGCTGGGGGAGAGGCTGTGGAATGTTTGGATAATTCCTCTAGGAGAACTTGCTTGTGCCAGTCAGGGTTGCTGCTCCAAGTAAGTTTAAACTGGGGGTCCAGGGTGGTTGCAGTAATGTACAAAGGGTTTTCCAGGATTGGAGCCAGAAGGCGTTCCAGAGACTGGTTTAGACCGAGCAGGAGGGCAGGGCAGTGGGGAGTTGATGTCTCAGAGAGATGCTTACGCAGACCAAGAACACAAGGCAGAGCCAAACTGATGGACACATGTCTGTCCAGCTGGGTGTCTCTCTGTGCGTCTCTGTGCACCATGTCCCAGGCCTCAGTGAAGGGCTCCAAAATGTCAGTGAGTTCCCTCAGCAGGGCTCTTTCTGAGCTACTCAACGCTACCTCCCCGGGACCGCTCACCTCCTCCAGGAAGTCCACTGAGTCCAAAAGCCGCCGCAAGATCTGTAGGGAAAAAAGTGAAGAAACGAAATAGCTATGAGATCATGTATCAATAAATTTGCACTATTGATAGACACATGCACATTTTAATTGTAATGTTTCTGGGACATCTGAACACTTCTAGTTATGTGAAAGCGTAGGTGTGTTGCACTGTCAATTATTGACAATCTAAACTCTTATAATCACATTCTCAATATAAAAATATATTATGTTGTATGAAGACGATGTACAGAGTCTTGGAAATTCACATTTTTGAAGTTTAAAGATTTCACTGTCACTGAAACTGGTTCTGCCAGAGTCTCATTCTGTCAAAAGGAGGATTTTACTCTCCGTAGCCGCCCACTACTCTGTGATGTCCAGGATTGAAATCAAATTAAAGATTCAATGCAATCCACTGGTTTTCTTTATTTAGACCTTTTACAACTTGGCATTATACAAATGTCATTATATGGAATTAGATTACAGTAAAAGACTAATCTTAATTGGATTGGATGGGATTGAATTGGACTGGATAGGATTCGACAGGATTGGATTGTGGTTTAATCAAATTGTCTATAATTCTACTTGAATTTAAACCAGTTTTGATCCTCCGTAAAGTACTCTCAGAGACATTTTTTTCTTGGTGAATGCAAAAATAAATTGCGTTCATTAAACAGAAGGGAATCTAAAATATGGTGAAATACATTAATATTAAGTTCCTTTATTCATGATCGTAATACTATTTCTTGCCTTGAGTTGAGCAGCCCAATCTGTAGCAGTATCGTGAAGGTTTCGGGTTCCCCCAGGCAACCACCCATCAAACACCTGGATGAGTTTCTCAGGAGGCACAGCAGAGGTAATGTAGTTATAGAAACGTGCAACCTTGGTCAAAGTAGAGGAAATTTGTGGGGAGGAGCGCAACCCCTCCCTGACACATTGTTCCAGAGAGCGAGAGAAACAGTCTACCCGACAAACGCCCAAACCCTGCTCCCATGACTCCCCCCAGTCTTCCTCCTCTCCATCACGCTTGTGGCCGTTACTGATCCATTGCTCGGCGTTGTTTCCGTTGTCTAGCGCTTGATCTGTCGAATCATCATCTTGGCCGTTAGTAAGAACAGGTGGAAGCAGGAAGCCAGGAAGACAACTTGGCCTCGCCGTTGACGTCGCTGGAAAAGGGTCCGCAATGACGCAAAATGCTTTCCCTGACACGCCGTGAGAATGACACACTTCGTCAAAATCTGCCAGCACACGGCTTGCCGAGCTACTGCAAGTCAGTGGGAGGCAGGCCAGGAGAGCAGAACGTATCTGCCAGTCAGATGCAAGATAATGGCAGGTAACACCAAGGTACCTGCAAAGAAAGAGAAAGAAGTAGGCCACATAGTTGGGGAATCTAACCATGCTGCTGGTTTATTTTTTTAGGGCTTCTGTTGCCAACTCACCCGGAAGCAGTTTGAGTTTGGCTCCTCCACAGGTCTAAGCTAAGACTGAGGGTGTGTGCAGATGCTACGGCCTGACGTGTAGCCAGCTGAGCCTGGTAAGCGTAGGCAGGGAGAAGCTGTCCCTGGATGTAGTGCTGGGGCTCAGGAGTGTAACGGGGCTCCAGGAGCTGCAGCAACTCCCTGAAGCCCCGATTTTCCACAACAGACACTGGCTGCAGGTCTTGCACGATCATCTTAGCTATCGCCTCGGAGATGAGAACCTACCATAATCCCCAAAAAAGATACAAAAATGGCAAACTTTACCTTTTGTACTCGCTTTGGATTTTATTGCTCTGCTCCATTTGAGGGATTTCAGAGGGAGCGTTATTTCAAGGGGCGACAGACATCAACACATACCTGACGGGGGTCATGTCTGTCAAACTTAGTCACCCCAGGGCCTGCTCCAGGGCCTCCTCCTCCCTCAAGGGTGCCCACTCCTCCAACACTTACTAAGGCTCCTCCTCCTGTTCCAGTTCTTACAGGGAGTGTGAAGCGGGGGTTTCCTCCATTGGTTGTGAAACTGTGCAGGCAAGCAGAGGAATAACCCTCTCTCTTCATATCCTTCCTTTTCACAAAGTCATCATACATAGCTGGGTGTTTACGCTGAATGGGAGAGAAACGGATGTTATTGGATTGCATGCTTAATATGTCATATGTTTGTCAGAGAACAGCGCGTAAGTGTAAATTTCAGTGGAGAAACGAATCAACTCTCAATAACACAAAAGCAACAGTCTGTCTTTGCTGATCCAGCAATTTAATATATGCAAACACTGAACCAGCTGATCACACTGGACCATCATGTCTTTCTTTCTTATTTATTATAGGATTTTGACACATTACCTTCAGATGTGTGACGAAGTTGGACGTAACGCTCCGTTTCGCCTGGATTCTGGTGCCACAAGCCTTACAGTTGGACTCGATTTTACCATTCTCCCCCTCGAACACAATATTGAAATAATCCAGGATAGACACTTTCGAAACTGACGCCATTGGAGCGAACAGCTGCTCTGCTCCAGAGTGAAATCAACTGGCGATCCGAGTCCCGAGGAAATCAGCCTCACCTCGCCCCAGATCATGAGCGGAGGCAAGCCGTCGTGTTTACATCCCAGTCATTCGCCCCCGGGATCACGCGTAGGAAAACGATCGCTCCGCAGACACAAAGCTAATCGAACTGGAAGGGCTCCCGTCGCTTGCGCATCCAAAATAGGCCACGGTCGAGCTACACAAGCAGCAGCAGCGGCGGATGTCTGGAAACATCAATAACACAACCGCGAGGCCACATCCGTGCTTCCAGCGCTCCCATCCGCCGCTCGGACGCAAGTGAAGCGGAGACAGAGCAGAGACCTTCATGGAGGAGGCAGACGCGCAGCACTGACCCGCTGTGGTTGCTGTAGCCGATCTGGATCAGGACGTGCAAGTGCAGGTCATTCGTCAAATAGTAAAAAAAAAAAGTGTTTATTTGAACTTTTTTTTTTCAACGAGGCAAACTAAACAATGCAGTTTCAATTGTTAAAAAAAAAAAAAACACTGAGGAGTAGAAATCAAAATTACATTAGATAGTAGCCTACAATAAATTTATAGCCCCACTACATTGATAAATGTTCCTTATCAATCAATCAGTCAATCAAATTTTATTTGTATAGCACAATTCAGCAGCAAGGCATTTCAAAGTACTTTACATCATAAACACAAAAAGACAAAGTCATGCATCATGGAATAAACAATACATTGTTACATATTACATTTCAAATAAAACTCTAAACAGGTGTTTTTAGTTGAGATTTAAAGGAAGTCATGGTTTCCGCTGTTTTACAGTTTTCTGGAAGTTTGTTCCAAATTTTTGGTGCATAGATGCTAAAAGCTGCTTCTCTTCTCTTGATTCTGGGGATGAAAAGCAGACCAGAACCAGAAGACCTGAGAGGTCTTCCTTAGCTACTAACGACGTCCTAGCATAATTTTGACTGAGTCTTTGACCACTTTTCTATGCAGCACCGATAGAGGTAGTTTGAATGTCTTAGACGTGGCATTTTGAGCATAAATTGGCAGTTGGTCTGAGATTGAGCTTTATATTTTAAGTTGGGGCTTAGAATGTTAAGATTCAGAATGCAGTAACCCATATTCTTACAGACACAAAATGTTAGGAACACATACCTCCAGTCATGGATTTACCATTTTTGAAGTTGCTCTACCAAAATTGTGCAAGGTTACCACTCAAAATAAAGGAGGGCTAAGACTGTTCCGTGTTTATAAATTAATGCTGAAGATAAATTGTACTTTATGGCTTTGAATTCTAAACGAGTCACTGCTAGAACAAATAGCATTTGCTTACTTTCATTACATGATTCACTATGTTTTTCCATGTATTGTGTGTTTTGAGAAGCTCTTTGGTCAACCTATGTTTTCCATATACCAAATGAAAGATCTAACAGGCATTTAGTGAAAAGAATCTTGGTGAATTTTTGAGCTGCTCATTTTGTTGGAAGAAAAAAAAAAAATTAAATAGTACACAACTGGAAACATTGACCATGTCCAGTATAATACTGGACATGGTCCCTTTTGCTTTGAGAGCAAAAGGGAAGATGCTTTTAGGAAGATAGTGATCCTGATATGTCTGATCAGTGTATATAGCTGTACAATTGATACCATGTTTAAACCAACCAAGAATGAATAATTTAAAGCAATTCAGAAAAATGTGTTATTTAGCATCACTGACTTACCTACAAATAAGTGTTTGCATTTATCTGAATGAAGAAACAGTTCAAAATGTTACACCGGCATGTCGACCAAACAATTTTGGCTTCATTTACCGTAATAGTAAAGGGATATCAAATATTTCAACACAAAATGTAGTTGATTCCATATTTATTTAAGCTGTGATGACAATTTGTTAGAATGCTCACAAGTCTTAGTAAAATTTACAAACTCCAACACATTTATATACAAACTCAAATAAGTTACGCATTTTGCAACAACATGGAAAATTATTGAACAATAATTAAAGAAGCAGGAATTGTTCAGCCTGTGATTTCCACATTTAAATCCAGCAATAACTGGATTATCTGATTCTGACGTTGTGATCTATGGACTCTCATTTGCTGAAAGAACATCCGCTTGCTTCTCATCTAATTGAGCAGAGGTATTGAGTCCAGCACCAGTTGAGCCATCATTGTTTCTCAAGTCATGCTTCAGTTGCTGTCTGGCATTTACAACCACGATCTGCAGAGCTGCAATCTCAGCTGAAAGCTCTATGACTGCAATGGAACAGACAGGAGAAACTCAATTAAGAATCGCAAATTATTCATTGGAATTTCTATTTTTATTGTTGGACATCCAACGATAAAGGTTCACATTTTCAAATATTCTCACTAATATACCGGTATGTATTTTGTAAGCTGTGCAGTGTGAATGCACAACAATGTTTGGCAAAGATTTCCTTTTTTTTTAAGTCATACCTTGTTGGAACGACGACTGTGCTTGTTTCAGAGACTGCGGCACCAAAATCCCAAACCACTTTAGTGGGTCCTGCTGAGGATTATGGTCTCTTTTTTTGCCTGGGTTTACCTCAGAAACTTTTTTACTGCTTACGTCTTCACTTGTCTTTTTTTCTGCAACATCACTTTTTGCATTTTTTCTTCGTCTGACGCCTGCGACATAAAATAAAAGAGTGAAGTCGAAAAGAAAAAAGGTTTATAGTAGATATTGCCAGAACACATTTTTCTCAATGCATCACCTTCTTCTTGAGGCCCAATATCCTCTATTGAGGATGATTCTTTCACAAATCCGTCACTGCATTTTTGTGACGATCTTACTGCACAGAATTCTACCTTATCGTTCTCCAAGGTTCTGGAACACAGAAAAAAACAAAAGGTTAGCAGAAACCAAAAATGCAAAAACTTTTATTTTAAAGAACATTTACTTTATTATCCCCCACCTAACATGCACAGAAACCAGTGGCTCCATCTCGTTTGCAAACTGGAGAGCAGAAACCTGCTTGTTTCCCATAGAATAACGGGCCTTGCTTATGGAGAACCACCCCTGCATAGAAGTAAAACAAAAGTAAAAACATAAGAGTTTATACAAGAGTAAAGTGTACACACACTCAACAAATATGTTTTTCTTATATATATATTTTCTGGTAAGACAAAAAAGACATTTAAAAAAATATGCATTCATAAAATGCTAAATTGTTCTGATTAAATTGTTTCTACAATATTTATCAAGCTTTGGTTAACATCTTAGTTCATTCCACAAACTAATAGCGAAAAACAACTGCATTTTTCTGGAGTGCTGCATTCAAAGACAGATAGCCCACATTCTATCATTTTTCTACCTGCTCGATGAGAGAGTTCAGAGTCTTTCGTTTCTCCTCCAATAACTCGAGCTGATCCATGAAATAAAGCAGCTTTTCATCCATCGAAAGACAAGCGTCTTCTTCTCTCAATACACCCATGTCGGCTGCTTAGAAAGAAGTGTTTTCCGTACAGTTTGTATCGCGGATACAATCAACGCCAGATCCACTCAAGGCGACGCGTACAGCTTCCGTATAGGTGTCACATGACATACCAAGTCACGTGACTCAAATTTTTTCTTTGCCACAGAGAAATATATAATGAAAGATAAATATATAATTAAACACGTCCATGATTAAACATACCACCTTTGTGAATATTTTGCGGCATAACCAAAATATTTTCAGTGTTATGTCATGAGAAAATGCTTATATTGGCAGTAAAAAAATATTTGAATGTTTGCCATGAAATATGTGGTTTTCAATTTGTATATCATTGTCACAAAGTGACAATGATATACAATGTATTTAAGGAAATGTGAAGTATGATGGTGGAATTTCAATAATATTAAAAATATCACGAGTGACAAAAAAAAAGGTGTTCCCATACCGGGAGTCGAACCCGGGCCGCCTGGGTGAAAACCAGGAATCCTAACCGCTAGACCATATGGGACTTATATTACGAATTTCGACAGGGGACATTCTAGATAGGTACAGTGACATTATGTGGCTGTAATACGGAAGTAATTTTGGACACGTATGTATTTCATTTCATGTCCCTACAGTCCTCACTCAGTCCACACCCTCGTAACGCAACAGCGGACAGCTCCATAAATTTCGCTGATGACAATTGTCATTGTGCTATTTCCGTCATTATCAGTGCTACTGCAGCGCACCAGCAACTTTGAATGGGAAAAAAATATTTAACGGCGTGAAAAACACATTTTTATAAAACGCATCTACTGCAGCTATAATCTTTGCATTTGTAAAGTCTTTCTGAAACTATGACTTCCATAAACAGGGGATACTTAACTACACATTTTATTCATGCCAGCATATGTGAGCTTTACTCCCCATATATACACTTCTTGGCTTCTTTCGAATAGTCTTTCTATTTTACTTCACCCATCCTTACGCTGATCACACACAGAGGTCGTACACCTACGTTCATAAGGCCAGCTAGAAGAGTGCATTACAGATCCCCCAGTAGCTCGCCGTGATCGTATAGTGGTTAGTACTCTGCGTTGTGGCCGCAGCAACCCCGGTTCGAATCCGGGTCACGGCAGGGTTAAATCCCTGACACGGCTTGGGGTAACATTTTATACCACAATTTGTTTGACTACTACGTTTGTTTGACTACTACGTTAAGAATGTTACTACTAGTATTATATTGTATCCTCGTGTTTGTGTTTACGTCTGTTGCACATTTGTAGTCTCAGCGACTTACTTTAGCCCCATTTTGACTTATTTAATATCAGATTTTAAGTATATAAATCAAATCACATCTAATTAACTACATCCTGAACTCACTGCTCAATGAGCAACAGAATTTTGAAACTGTCCCTCTACTTCAAAATTCGCAGTTTCATGGTCTGCTGTCTACGCTGCTTCTTTTTTTTCAATAGGAGGAGGGTATTTTGACGAAGAATGGCTCCTGTTCATTGGTTGTTTTCGAAGGCAAAGTCCATGTTCCGAGAAAAGGAGCCAATCATCTGAACCGTCAGATCGAATATATCTTTTCATGCGTTCGACCTCAGTAATTACAGGTTTTTCATTGGTGTTTGTAATCATGAGTTACCGCCCTCCTACTTGACAGATTTCCGTGTTTGAGTTCACGCGTTCCACTTTCATGTGAAGTGAATCTGCTGGATATCAATTTTGATTTTTCCAAGTCTGCAGACGTTCTTACAAAAACAGTGTGGCTGATCTCTAACATTGTTTGCATCTCTGGTGAGTGGAACCAGCTGATACCAGCTTTTATTTTGATTTATTTAATTACTTTAACACTTAAAGAACTGGAACTGGAATTTCTTCACAATAAGCATAATGATATTTCAAATGATCACATTTGTATTGATAATAATAATTTAAAAAAAAAGATGTTCATGTCTTCAAACAGATAATGGATGCCAAAAAGACTTCTCATCCTTTCTGGCCCCGGGACCTGGTGATTCCCTCCTATGTGGCTAATGATCGGTCCATGTCAGAGATCCTGGTGTTCCTCTTCTCTGTCTCTGGGGGTTTTCTACTTGTAACCTGGCTGATCACTGGTATCTCTGGCAGGCTGGGGACATGGAGGCGACTGGCTCTCTGCTGGTTTGCCGTTTGTGGATTCATCCATAGCGTCATCGAGGGATGGTTTTGTTGTTATTATGACATTATACCAGGGGATCAGAGCTTCCTATCACAACTGTGTAAGTCACCATCATAAAAACAAACAAAAAGTAAATCATGTCTGTCATGTATTCTTGATTTTTAAGGTACAGTAATATGTATTCTGTTTCCCTCTCTCAGGGAAGGAGTACTCCAAAGGGGACAGTAGATACGTTATGTGAGTCACAATCATTTTAAAAACATTGATTTAAAAATGTAAAACTGAGGTGATATGGTAAGCTATTGCTGTTTTTTTTATCCTTATTTAGAGCTGATAACTTCACAGTTTGTATGGAGACGGTGACCGCTGTCTTATGGGGTCCGTTCAGTTTTTGGACCGTTTATTCCTTTTTAACCACCAAGTCCTACAGATTCGTTCTGCAGCTTATTATTTCACTTGGTAAGAAGCTCTAAGAACTATATAAAAAACAAAAAAAACAACAAAAAAAAAACAATGTTTACATAATGCTCTGGTTTCTCATATTTACATGTTGTGTCTAAATACATATTTCGTCACCAGGTCAGATATACGGAGCAGTGCTGTACTTCTTCACAGAGCACAGAGATGGTTATGTTCACAGCGAGTTTGGACATCCAATCTACTTCTGGTTCTACTTTGTCTTCATGAATTTTCTGTGGATTGTCATTCCTTTGGCGCTCATTGTGGATGCGTGGAGACAGCTATCAGCAGGCCAGTCACTTGCAGACAGCTCAAAGGCACAGAAGATTAAAAGGAAGTAATCGTCAAAATGGGACATACAGAAAACACATTTCAAAAGTTTGACAAATGCAAACTGTCTGTAGTCTTTTGGTTCATGTTGCAATATTGAGCCGATAGTCCAAAAAGTGCCAGCAAACTAAGAGTTTTGTTCTTGTGTTTTTTTTTTTACCATGATGATTAAAAGAAATGTTTTATGCCATTTATTCATAGTTTTTAATTTCTGAATAAACTGGATGACATCTCAAGTTTCACAACAGTGATGTTTTCAAATTTCTTAGTTGATTAAAAAAAATCAAGCTTGTACAAAAATAAATACATGAAATACCAAAGGTCTGACACTGTACTGTGAAACATGGGCTAAGCATGCAGTCTCTTTACAAACCTTATTCTTTAATGTTTGCAAACGGAAGGCTGGATTTATGAAACCATTTCTCGCAGTTTGCCCCAAAGTAGGTCATTTTACTTCACCATACTGCCCAACTTCACGACATCACGCGTGTTGGTATATGGAATCGTGGACCAGCCAATCCCGCACGCCGAAATAGCTCAGTTGGGAGAGCGTTAGACTGAAGATCTAAAGGTCCCTGGTTCGATCCCGGGTTTCGGCATTTTGCATGTCGTGTTCAGTTTGGTTGACTTCTTGCACCACCTAGTGGCCAGACACCGAACACTACAGGCATTTATAGAAAGCGACCATTTTGCGACTGAGTTCAATGAGTCGTGCTTTTGGTTGAATATTTATTATCCCAACCCTCCATTCAAAGAAATCAGACATTTTGTAGTTATAAGGCTTTACTTTGTAACAGAGGCTGTGTCATAATTGCACTTAGATCTAATTATGAGGAAAAACATTATTAGAATTCTAACATTCCTATTTTAGCTAAACATTTTACTGAGTCTCAATCCCAGCTGCACATTTCTCTCCTTTTCTGTACTTGTTATCTCTTTGAGCGCCTTCACAGCAGCGGGCAGGTCCGGCTGGATTTCCAGCAGTTTCTTAAATGCCTCTTTGGCCTCATCCAGCTCGTTCAACTTCTGGCATGCCTGGCCCAGTCGGTACCAGGCCTTTGAGGCGGCAGGTTCAAGTTGAGTCGCTTTAGCAGCACTGTCCCTGGCTCGCTGTAGTTGGTTTAATTTCAGCTGGCACAGAGACAAGTTGGAGTGAAGCTCAGCTTTCTTGATTTTAAGCTGATCAGACGAAGGGAGCTGCTGTGTTTCTTCCAAACAGTTTGCATCTTCCACCTCTCCAACGAGGCCGCAGAGGGGGATGAGGAGCTTGAGGGCCCGGCTGTAGCTGTCTGTGGCTCCCCATAAGTCCCCGCTCCTGAATCTACCGCCTCCTCTCTCCTTGTGCGATTTCACCCACTCCCATCTTTCAGCGGGGGTCATCTCCCAGGATTCCTTTCCTGGAGTGAAGTCTTGGAGCTCCACAGTAGCAATGAGAGGAAGGTCTTCACACGAAGGCTGGTGAAGAGAAGCTTCTGGTCCAGTTCCAATGGGAGTAAGTCGTATCTGAGCAATTAGACACCATGATTAGACCTGCGATGAAACTGACCGAATAGATTTAATTTCATTTAGGGGTGGTTTGGGGGGGACTCTGTAAATCCATTTTCTCTACAACATCAAATGCAGGTTTTACACTTGAATACTATGAGGCTCTTTAAAAGTTTTATCTATAAAAACTTCCAATCAAGAACAAAACCAGACTTTACTGCTACTATAAAAATCTTACCTCACATTTCTCCCCTGCTCTCATCCCCTCCAAACATGCCTCTGTGACGTCGCACTGACCCTCCCCCAGCCTCAGAGTTGTCCAGTCACCCAGGGGCACCTGCAGCACGGCATCCTGTTGCCGAAGAAATGGAGTTGGCACTAAATCTGTGACAGCACTGACTGGCATCTTCTCGTTTTCTTTTGCAGATGGAGGACCGTCGGAGTCGTCGCTCTGAGCTTTGAGCTGTACTTTTACCCGACACAGTGAGCCCAGCTTAGGACACTGATTGGTTAGACAAGCTACGGGGAAAGAAAGAGAAAACAAGTTTGAAAAGCATGCCGTCACAAATAGCGCACTGCTAAATATTAGCCACATTAAAAAGTTGAATTATAGAGATGCAAAACAAATAAAAAAATAAAAAAATCAATGTTGACCAGAATTGGCTACATTTGCCAAATTTCAGCTTGATCAAACCTGAATGAAGACTAGCAGGTTGGGAACATCCAAAATCTTATTACTTCCTCTGTTTAAAAATAAAAGCAAATAAATATTTTTTAATCGTTTTCCCTCACGTACGTAATAAGATGTTTCCTCTTTTTCCTAATACAATTGATTTCTTGTGGCTCATTGTTCGAATGCTACAGGGGAATAGAAAGCCAATACTGTGCTTTACATTTCCAGCATTGGAATCAACAGCTTACGGTACTATAAAAGCTAGAAATGCAAAACGGGGCACAAAATTCTGATCAGTGAAACTGCAACTAAAAGGAATGCCCTACATGCATCATCTGCTCTATTAGAAGAGATTTGTTGAGTCCACTGGTGCGTCTCGTTTCGCTGGGCCCTCCAGAGTCCTCCAGGACACACAGAAACCCACGAGGTGACATCAGCAGCTTCCTGTTTGTCGGGCTGCATTTCGACCAGGTCAACAGGCTCCATCACTGGGTGGACAAAATGCACAGACAAGAGAGATAAAGACGAACAGCTGGTTTGTTCACGTCTCCATTTTAAAATCACATGAAAAAGATTAAGAAATATTTATTTCAAAGCTCCTGCTTTGAGGGAAAGTACAACTTGAGCTTCAGACATTAATGTATTTATGTAATCAATGGTACAAAAATAAAATAAAATTATTAGCTACTATTATTAGATTTGGAAATTATAAAAAGTTTCCTCACGTTTCACTAGAGGCATGCTTGAATGAAAGCCAATTATTTGGGAAGAGGAGGATTTTTTTCTTAAACAGTAATTTATCGACATAAGATTAACAGGAAAAAACAACAACAACAAAAAAAAACGACCATGGCATGTTATTGGATAAAACGAAATAAAGCAAAACGGCAGAGCAAACTAATAATATATATTTTAAAAAGTCATACAAAGTTACTATACTACCACAACCACATAATGTTACTATTTGTTTGCATGGCTATAATACAAGGTTAAGTATTGTAACAAGTTAACTGCGCGTTTTTATTTTTGTTGTTTTTATTTGCAAGCGTAGATTGTTGCACTCTTCGAATTACATTATGCAGCTTTTTTTTCTTTTTTTTTTTCAGAGCAACACGAGCACAGAGAAGCGAACTAAACAACCTGCGTTTCATCACTCTGGGAAAGAGTCGCACCTCCGGACTCCGAACACCCACCTGAACCCACACGCAGGAGTCGCTTTCCCCGTCCTTCACGCAGTAACACGCCTGCAGCTTGTGTTAATAACAAAAGCTCTTCTTAATGCCCCGTCTGCCTCTTTCTCTTTGTGTTTGGAGAGGCTGGCGTCCAGCGACACGATGTGCAGCACACAGTGCGGTGAGGGGCGTTACTGCCCTCTATCGAGCTGGAGTGTCCTTTACATTAATCCGGACATTGGTGCCATATTTTCCTCTTAACGCTACAGTTTTCATTTCCGCATAGATAAACACTACTGTAGTTTTTTTTTTTTTTTTTTTTTTTTTTTTTTTTTTTTTTTTTATAATCCTGAATTTATAGAATTGGTCTGGAAAACAGCCTTTCTGCTCTCTGTTTTTACATGTGCTTTCTAAAACATGTTGTTCTTCCTCCCAAATTTTCAACATGTCCTTAAGTGCATTATATATTTGAAAAACGGCTTCTGTAGAAATGACCTTTTGCACCTTGCCCTTCTTGAAATGGTCGAGAAGCCACTTTCCGACTTATTGGCAAATTTCAAGTCTTGTCCAATTATCCGGTATTCCAATTTTCTAAGAAACTATAGTGATCTTCATAAAATAAGCACATGAATTATAATGATACTAGTTTTTCTTTTTAAGTTCAATGAAATTCCTCTTTTGATTTCATTCTTTTAACATATTAAGGTGTATACATGGATATAAAGATCAGAATTTGTTGAATTTGCTTGATTTCAGTAAAAAAAAAGAACAAAAAAAAAAAACACTCAAAGTGAACCGAAAAAATTTTAATTAATAGTTTAACAATGTTAACATTTAATAAGGTGACAACATTTTAATGTAAATGTAAAGAAGGCATTAAAGCCAAATAAAGAATGACAAAGAAGCTTCAACAAATTTGTTGAAAAATATAAATTTCCAGTAGGGGTCGCTCTCTACTCACCTATTTGACAACATGATCTCTCACAGGACATTGCATATTGTAAGCACAGACTGGTGTATGTCTACATATGTATTGTTTTCAAAAGCATCTTTGTCTGTCTGAACCAGGACCACCTCACACATGCACCCATGTGCAAAGTAAGGAGAACATTTTGGAGCCAATGCAATTCTAGAGAGGTTTAGAGGACAGTAAAGGGCCTGATGAATACACAAAATAGAGCATTCCATAACTTAGGGGCCCCAGTTACTTAGAACTGGGATTGACCAGAACCAGCTGGTCAGCAGACTTATGTGTCCGAGCAGGAGTGCAGCAGTGGAGAAGCTCAGTGAAGTAAGGCAGGGTAAGGCTGTTTGAAATCATGAAAACAAACAGAAAGATTTTAAAATGAACTCTAAAACACCCGGGGAGTCAGTGAGGGCAGTCAGGTAATGTGCTCTCTCGTGTGTTCCTGTTCAGAGGCGTTCAGCAGCACTCTGCACCAGCTGCAAACCTGTGAGTGAGGACCAGCTGATTTCAAGGTAGAATAAATTGCAGTGATCCAGCTGTGATAAAATGAAGGTATCAATTACTGTTACTTTGAATGCATAGATTTGACCTTGAATTGTAAAAACTGGACTTTACCATGGCCCTTTTATGAGTTTAAAATGACTTGTTCATTTTAAAACCAATATTTGTCACTATGGGCTTACCATAAGTTGCCAGGGAGTCTACATCTACAGGAGGGCTCTGACGTGCTCCATTTGATCCAAAACAATTAACTCAGCCACTTTTCATTAAAATGCAAAACATGTAGTGCCACCCAAACTTTAATAAACATAAGTTAGTTAGTAGACATGCTATGCAAAGCATAGCATGTCTACTATTCTGCATTTTTCTGTCACTTGGTCTTTCTAGGTGACAGAC